ATGCCTCCATTCACAGAAAAAAGAAAAAATATATATATAGTCTTCCTGACAAGTCAGGATACCTTTCCCTCCAGAGCTACAACACTTGCATGCATAGCCTGACTTCTGACAGTCAGGATACCTTTCCCTCTGGAGCTGTAACACTTGCAGATAGGGTCCATCAAGGTAGAATGAGAGCAAGCAGGAGGCTGGGTAGCGGGAACAAGAAGCTAAGAGCTCCCATGTTGAACTGCAAGCATAAAGCTGAGAGAGTGAAATGGTGCAAGGCTTCTAATCTCAAGGCCACCCCTAGAAACAGATTTTCTCTAGCAGGGCTGAACCACTTCTCCCTCCCCCAAACATCACCACTAACTGGTGTCCCAGATTTCAAATGCTTGAGATTCTGGGAAGCATTTCTCAATCAAACCAGTATAGAATAGTAACAACACACATCATAGAGTAGAAGGAACGCTCTTTCCAGCAGCCTCACCCGGTGACCACCAGACACAGAACCTCACCATCTAGTTTGCCTTGGTTTTCTGCTTGGATGGAGCTCACCTCACATGTCATGAACCGCTGGCCTCACTATGGAGTTGCACTGTCGGCCCAGGTAGTGAGCTGTGGCAAGGGATACAGCAAAGGGCCTGCCTTCCTATGCAGAGGCCCTGTGGGGGCGGGTACCAGGGAGGCTGCTGGATTTTCCCAACGTGTTTGACCCTGGAGCACTGACTTCCATCTCTAACCTCTGAAACATCTGAACTCTGGACCACACTGAGTCAGCTCCTCCCTGCTTCATCCTCACCTCTTCACCTACCCAGGCTAAGAGCAGATCCCCACTTCCTCAGAGAACCCAGGAATCTTACATTTCTAGTATGAGATCACTGTACATGAAAACATTTGACATAAACTTTTGGGACTCCAACTAAAGACAACACAGTGCTTCTAAAGGCCAGGCAATTTTTAAAGTGGACCCTTTCTGAGTTGGAAAAGGCACGTTTTACCTGCTGGGAAGTCAAGGAAGAGGGAACCCAAAGGAGCATACTGGATTGCTTAAGGATAATACGGCCTAAAATCGCATTTGCACAGCAGTTAACCTCACCTCAGAGGCCGGCCCCATGACTAGGTGCTAGGCAAATGTCCCCAGCCACAGTCAAGCAAGAAGCGTGGGAGAATAAATTACACAGGCAAAAGAAGTTCGATGGAGTCTGTTGACAACAGTAGGGTCCCTCAATACTGGATCGGAACATCAAGAGCAGTGCACTGATTACAACCTGGGCAGATTCCTCTTCTTCCTGCGCACCTTAGACCTGTCCTGCAGACTCTGCCCTCCCTCTTGTCTCCAGATGCAGAGGAATGCAGCTCTGCCACTAAAAGGAGCCAGGGCAGAAACAGGGACAAGAGGCAAAGCACACTAATGTCCCTGTGGCAGAGACCTGAGAAAGTGTAACTGCAGCATCCTGGGTACAGTGAGCCTCACGAGGAACAGAGGAAGCTCTGGGTCTGAGTGCAGTCACAGCGGGACTGCAGGCCTGGAGACTAGAACAAGTGATGATGACTTTGCTCAACCCTGAACCCCAGCATTGTGGTGGCAGGCCTGTGGGTTTGCACAGCCAGGAGCACAAAGGCTGATCCTCAGGCCGGCCAGCTCTCAGAGTCCCAGGTGTCAGAACACGGGCTCCTGGAGTGTGGGAGCAGCATTGCTACCACCTGGGATTCCGAGTCCTTACTCTGGGCCCACTGAATCAGAATCCACATTTTAACAAGACCTCTGGAGATTAACTACTTACTGGCTTCCAGGGCTTCCATAGAGAGATGTGGGAAGACAATGAAAAGAGCAGAGAGAAGGGAAAGATAAAATCACACAGAGCTCCAGGAAGCACAAGCAGAGCTCGCAGAGCAGGCCTAGTGAGACCAGGAAACTCACTCTGGCTACAGGTCACATCTGAATAATCTCCATCTTTGATTCCAAGAAGTCACTGGTCTTTGTGTGAATTCTACATGCTAAGATGTCTAAGCAGCGACAAAAATATTCTGCTGAGCTCTAGGGGAGCAGGGAGATTCCAAATAGGAGCCAGTGACAAAGTGACAGCTCTGAGAATTCTGGTGAACAGGAAGAAATTTAAATCATAGTCTACCCTAAGGAGACTGCTCTGGTTACCTTCATGTCAGCGCCTCAGGATGCTCACTCGGCTCCTCCATTGTCTGTGCTCACCCTGAGCAGCTACCAGCCCTGATACCTTCCCAGTTGAGCTGAGGACCACACAGAGCATCGCCATGGTGCAACATTTAATCCTAATTAATAACAAACAAGTATGAATGTGTTCCTCAGTAAGAGTGGGGCGACTCTTCAGAGAGGCCCCTGACAGTGAACTGGTATGAGCTGCAGGGGTAGTGAACAGTACTGAGGAGGGGCATCTCCCTACTTCTTCCATCTCTTCTATCTAAAGCAACCCGTACATCCTCATGAGAACAGAAGCCAAGGGAGCCTTTGTACTCCATCACCCTGGATATGAGTCCTGAACAGCCCTGCATAAACACTGGGCTCCAGAACAGCCCTGGATAAACACTGGAGTCCTGAACACCCCTCATAAACACTGGAGTCCTGAACAGCCCTGCATAAACACTGGAGTCCTGAACCTGCATAAACACTGGGCTCCAGAACAGCCCTGCATAAACACTGGAGTCCTGAACAGCCCTGCATAAACACTGGAGTCCTGAACAGCCCTGCAAAAACACTGGAGTCCTGAACAGCCCTGCAAAAACACTAGAGTCCTGAACAGCCCTGATAAACACTGGAGTCCTGAACAGTCCTGCAAAAACACTGGAGTCCTGAACAGCCCTGATAAACACTGGAGTCCTGAACCTGCATAAACACTGGAGTCCTGAACAGCCCTGGATAAACACTAGAGTCCTGAACAGCCCTGGATAAACACCTGGACTCCCGAAACAAGCTGCTGAAGTCAGGATGTGCAGTCAGTTCAGAGAAGAGGCAAAGGGGGGGTCACATAGAGGAAAAGGTTGACATGGTGACCCTCCTGGGTGCTTTGCCCAACCCCAATCATCGCACAGCTAAGCACCATGTCCCAGCATGGTGAGTTGCCACCATAGGCCTATGCTACTAAGAAGTAAATTGAAAAGCATGGGTCCCTGGAAATCAGAACTATATGTGGTTTTTATTTAATTCAGGGAAGCATTTCGTTTTGTTTTCTTTTTTAATTTTCATAAGAAATTTGTCTTTGTACTGGTTTGAATGAGACCAATGTAGAAAAAAAAAGAAAGAACATGGAGGGTATAGTCTTGGAGGAGGTATATTACTGAGAGTGAATTTGAAGTTTCAAAATGCTGGATGTCCCTCCCCCTCTGTCCCACCTCCCACTTCCCTTCCCTCTCTCCCTCCCCCTCCCCCCACTCTCTCTCTCTCTGTCTGCAACTAATGGATTAGATGTGAGCTCTCAGCTACTGCTTCAGCACTCCAGCACCATGCCTTCCTGCCTGCTGTCTTGCTTTCTGCTGTGATGCTCATGAACTCACCCCTTGAAACTGTAAGCAAGCCCCCAGCTAAATGCTTTCTTTTATAAGTTGCCTTGATCATGGAGTTTCTTCACAGCAATAGAAAAGTAACTAAGACAGCGTTACTAGGGCTGGAGAAATGGCTTAGTAGGTAGTATCATATGCTCTAGAAGCATAGGGACGTGAGCTAGAATCCCAGCATGTGTGCCAAGAGAAAGGCATGGTTACAAGTGCTTTAGCTCCATCATTGGGACATGAGATAGGCATACCCCCAAAGCCAGCAGAGCAAGTTTCTGGTTCAAAGAGAGGCAATAGGGTAGGGGGTGGATAAAGGAAGACTCTCAATAGCCTACTCTGATTTCCATGTGCACACACCCACATGTTCGCCTGCACACACCACACTTGTACACTGCCCATAACACACTTAAACATGCACACAACACGTGTTCACTGCACAACACACTTCCACATGCATGCACCACACATGTACACTGCACATACACACACACACACACACACACACACACACACGTTCACACTGCACATAACATATACTTGCACAAGAAAAAGAAATATGTGTGGTACTTTAAACATGATATTTAAATGATGTTACCAGAAAATACATAGACACTTGTTCCAGAAAGCTCAGAAGCGAGCATCATTTCATCTTCATTATCTCAAGCTTTGAGGAAATCATTTAACCTTTCTAGGCTTCACTGTCCTCGATTTATGGTTTCTATTTTAATAACTGCTGCCTTCTCAACTTCACAGATGTTTTGTGAGGCTCAAATAAGATAATGAATACTTAGTCCTACAATTCAAAATAACTAAGGACAAAAAAATAAATAAAAATGACACTCTGCCTTCAGACAGCCTGCTCAGGCTGGGGTGATTCTGAGTGCTGAGAGCTGTAAAGGACAAGGAGGGGACACCATCATGAAGCAGAAAGACCAGGGGTCTTTGAAGCCCAGCACATTGAAGTAAACCCAACGCTGGCCATCATCATGGGTTCAAGTTTAGGCAAATCACTATTTTTCTTAGCTCCTTAGAGGGTGCTGGTGTAAATGAGAATAAATGTGTGTGACTTGCCTGGCCCTTTTGAGGCAGTTATCCTCACTGCTGGAATGACCATAAAGTAAGAAGTCATATGTTCTCCACTGAGCAAATATATAACTCAGATGTGCCCTTCGTCCGGGGTTCAGCTGAATTTTTTCCATTGAACACTAACTGGCCAGGAGAAGGCAGAGTCTGCTGCCTCTGTCAGGGTAGTTAGCTAAAAATGCATGCCCAGCAGCACTCTAGATGTCTGTCTAAGTTATGAAATCGTGTTTTCTTGTCCCTTAGGGTTTACAAAGTAGAAGAAGTGAAGGAGATGCAAGCTGTTCATAGACATTCTGCTGCTTGGCTGCACACCTGTCATAGGTTGGAAAGAGGCTTAGATGATAGACAACGAGAGGTTAAAGTGATAGTATCAACATCCAAATATTATTGGTGATTACAATGGACAAAGCTACAAATGGTGACAGGTCTCCTGAGGATGCTGCGGTTAGAGAGCAGTCTCAGTGACGGAGGCATCTCAAATGTGGTTTAAGGGGAGAGAGCACAAGGTACATGCCCACTCTGTCATAACACAAAGCTCCACCCTTCAGCATGCAGCCCGAAAGAGTGAGTCACCAGGCACAGATGCCAAGGCTGAAAGAATGCTGCATCATCCTATGAAGAGCTGACTGAAGAAGAGCCTGAGGTACCTTCCAGGGGGACTCAGGGGTTAGCTTGCTGGTGGCAGCTGGCATATGGGGTGGTAGAGACAGCAAAGAATGCTCAGGAGCCTAACTATGGGCTCTGGTGTGTGCATTGTTAAAGCTAACAGCTAAGCCTAGTCAGACTCTTTGAACTTGGCCATCACTATGGCTTAGATCAGAAAGAGTTCACCAAACTCATACATGGAAGGCATGGCCCCCAGCTGATGGCACTATTGAGAAGTGATTATATAAGGACACTAATGTCATAGACAGATTAATTCATTGATGAATTTATAGCTGGACAGGCTGTTACAAAGTGAAGCATAGCTGGAAGAAGTAAGTAGATCACTAGAGGCATGACTCTGAAGGGTGTATCTTGTCCCTAGACCCTCCCCTCTTCCTGCTTTCCTGGCTGCTATGTCCTGCTGTGGCGTTTCTGTCTTGACACAAACCAAAAAGCAACAGAATCAGCTGACTGTGGACTGAACCAGGAACCTAAATAAACATGTACTTTAAACTGATTTGTTCAGACATTTTGTCCTAAGGGTAAAAAGTAAGTAACACAAATATTAAATTTCCTCAAAGATGGGAGAAGAGTTGTTCTTTAAAACATTCTCCTCTTATTCTCCTGTACAAGAGGTTTCATTTATAATTTGAATTGCATACACTCGAGCATAGTGCAACTGCAAAGTGCAATGCAAAAGTAAGCTGTGTTTATAGCTGTTATTATGACTAATGGAACTCCAAAGACCCCTTGCGATGTACAAAGGACAAAACAGTTTTAGAGGCACAAAGAACTTGGGAATCCATCCTAATGAATAAAATGTCATTTACCATCTTGGCTTTTTTCTGATCTTTAGAGATTTCATAATCTTTCCTGGCATTTCAGTAAAGCCAAGGAACCATACTCTTTTTAAAGCTAATTGCCTGGAAAAAAATTCCTCCTCTCTCCAATGCAGAATAAAAACTGTCTAGCAAAGACAGAATCCTAAATATGAGCCGCCGCTGCAGATAAGATGGGAACTAATTTGAATCCCCTATCACTTCTACTCAGACCAAAGTTTCTATGCCCAAGATTCTGACATTCGTTGGCATCTTATCTGTGTTTGGGCTCTGTGTCATATATATTGGTGGGTTCTGTGTCATATATATTGGTAGTTATCTGTTATCAATCTCCTTCAAGTTCTACAAACTCCTTATGACTGTGGCTAAGTTGGATTTTCATGAAAACAGGATTGGGAAGCCGTTGTTCTCTGTTCTTGGAAGAGATTGAAGAGTAACAGACAATGAATGAGTGCTATCTGCCAGTTGGGTGACTTGTTTCATTCTCTGAACAAGTATGTCCCAAGTTTGGAAGGCATTGATAATAGAAAGGTAAGAAAACCTAGCCTCAGTTTTCTTTTTTTAATTAATTAAATTTATTCATTTATTTTACATCCCATTTGCAGTTGCTCCTCACTCTTTTCCTCCCATTCCCTCCCCCAACCTTCCCTCCCCCACAATCCACTCCTCCTCTGTTTCTATTCAAAAAGGGGCAGGCCTCCCATGGGTATCAGCAAAGCATGGCATATCAAGTTAAGGTAAAGCTAAGTTCATCCCCTTGTATTAGGCTGGGCAAGATAATCCAGTATGAGAAATATGTTCCCAAGAGTCAGACAAACCGTCAGGGACAGACCCTGCTCCCTCTGCTAGGAGTACCATAAGTAGACCAAGCTGCACAACTGTCACTCATATGTAGAAGACATACATTGGTCCCATGCCATCTCCCTGGCTGTCGGTCCAGACTGTGAGTTCCTATGAGCCTAGGTTAGTTGTTTCTGTGGGTTCCTTTGTGATGTCCTTGAACCCCCTGGCTCATATAATCCTTCCTCCCTCTCTTCAGCAGGGTTCCCCAGGCTCAGCCCAATGTTTGACTATAGGTCTCTGCATCTATTTCCATCAGTTACTGGATGAAGCCTTTCGGGGGACAATTGGGATAGTCAACAATCTATGAGTATAGCAGAAGATAGTTATAGCCTCAGTTTTCTTGATAGTGAGTACTGTCATCTGTTTCCAAGAAAATGGAGGGTTGGTTTTTAAACTGATTGCATAGTAAATAAAAAGTACCATGAGCTGACAATGTCAAGAAAAGAGCAGGGAACTCAGAAGCCAGGGTAGGATGAAGATAGCTGGACTTTTGTTAAAGCAGGATGCTAAAACTCGATCCATACAGTAAGATCCACCAAGAGCTGGGACGGGGCAGGTAGCACACACCTAAGGATATGAAACACCTAAGAAACATAGTTCTGGAGCAGATCTTATGCTTAAAGCAATGGCCTTGGCAAGGAGGCCTTTGCTATGGCAAAACTTTGTCTACAGCATGCTACTGCCCAAACCAGCTGTGCTCACACTCTTCATCCCTTTAAAGCAGTTTATGCATCACTTCCACTAGAAAGGCCATCCTCACCACCATCCCTTCCTAAAGGAGTCTGGTACCCACTCTCGTTCTCTTTTTGTAACACTGCTGCAAGGCCCACACTGATGATGATCTGTTTGTTTATCTTTCTTCCCCCTCGACACTGTGAGCTCCTGGAGGACACAGAGTTGGCCTTATTTATTATTTACCACAGTGCCTATTACACTTGGCATACACAAGTGGAAGGGAGGGAGGGAAGGAGGGAAGGAGGCTAGTAAAATCTTTATCGGTCTAGGTGCTCAGCTGTTACACAAACGCCTGAACTTACACAGAGACTTTGCAAATGAAACATGCCATAAACATCCCTCCCCTCCAGGTCAAGGGCAGAAAGTCAGCAGAGTGTCAGTCAAGTCTCTCTCCCTCAGCTAGAGAGACAAGCCGTGAACAGCTTGCAAGTGTTCACTGCCTTCTGTGCTGGGGGAATTTGGCTATGGGGCTCTTAACGAGATCAAGCTGAATCGCACAGTTTCATCCTGTCAAAACGCATTGGAAATCTTTCTTGGGTGATTTATCATGGAAATGCACATGGCAGGGAAGGGGGATTAGAGGAAGCACAGAGAGTCACTCAGCTTACAGTGCTCTGCTGGCACCATGCCCACGGTGGCCACGGCTGCTGATGGACAAGGCTAGGCCGACACTAGATAGATGGGCTCCTGAGAGAAGGCCACCTCCCGAAAATAAATAATCAAGGCCACTTCAAGAAAAGTGTTAACACACAGCAGCCACAGCCAATAAATCCTGGACATGTAGGTTCCAGTGAGGGAACTGGATTCATTGCAGCCACCACCATTACTTCCCAGCCAGATGAACTAAAACAAAGAGTGCCTCAGATCTGCTCCCCAAAGTCAACAGTAAAACGTCCCTAATTTAAAGCAACAGTGTTCATCCACAGTTACCTGAAGTCGCTGCTACAGAGAACATTGGGTAAAACACACATATCCAGGAATTTGAAACTGTCATCCTGAACCCTCTACACATCTATAAATATTTTCTCCCAACTGTGGGAGCTAATCTCAGACTAATCCTTATTGTCATGGTGTATCTGTGCCACTGTAGCAATCGGGAGTTCTTGTTAAAAGTAGCATTAACAAATGCGAGCTCAAACACAAAGCAGCTGTCATTTGTCAATGTTGTTTTGTAAAAAGGTGCCAGCTTGCACTGCAGGGCCCTTGAGGGCAGAGACTCATTGTTCCAAGGCTGAGAGCCTGCTCCTTGCCAGGCAGGACACTGAAAACAAAGACTACAAGGACAGAAGGCAAACAGCTCTGCTCCCCGACCCTAGAATGTAGTGGGGAAGATAGAAAGAAATAGCTAGAGATGAAGAGTCAGAAAAAAAGATCATTGTACACGAGTGAATTGAAAGAAGCAAGCCTAGATTGACCTGGGACAGAGCGTGTCCAGGAAGACTTGTGTCTGCCACTGTAGGCATATGTGCAGATCTCCTCTCAGGAATATAGTGTAAGTAGTGTGTGTGTGTGTGTGTGTGTGTGTGTGTGTGTGTGTGTGTGTGTGTGTGAGAGAGAGAGAGAGAGAGAGAGAGAGAGAGAGGACATTTGAGATCTTACAAGCTTTTCCTTTTTGTTTCTTGTTTGTTCACATTATCTTTATGAATAAAGGGAATTATGAATGTATTGAGATCTGAAGAATTTGGAAGTTCATTGGCAATGAGGAAAAGGGCACAAAAGCAATGGGGTTCAATTTACCAAGAATTATGATATATGTGTGTGTATACATGGCGGGAGGGAGGGAGGGAGTCCATGCCAGCTTTGAACTCATTGGTAGTAGAAGATGACCTTGAACTCTTGATGCTCCTGTCTCTACCCCTGAGTGCTGTGATTACAGGTATGCACCATCACATCTAGTTTATGTGGTTCTGGGGATGGAACCCAAGACTTCACAGGTGCTAGGCAAGGATTCTACCAGCTGAGCAATATCATCAACCCCTGGTGTCTGTAGTTCTGAAAATTACTTCTCAATAATAATTTTTAAAAGACAAAGAAAGTAAATATAGTTTCAACCCCCCAAATCCCTGAAAGCCTCAATGTATAGATACCAGTTAGATTTCTGGGTTTTAGATTAAATGAGGAAATCATGCAAGAACTAGGAACTGTTAAAACAAAAGAAACCACAGGAAACAGAACTGCACTGTCGCTGAATCACAGTGTCAGCTCACTGGGACTGCAGAACTGCATTGTTGCCAAATCACAGTGTCTGCTCACTGGACGGCAGTCACAAAACACCCCAGATTTAGAACTAAGCTTATCCTTTCAGTGTTCTGGGAACCAGAAGTCAGAAACTGAGTCAGCAGGACTGGGTTCTATTCTGCAACTAAGGAATTCTGCCCTGTGCCTGTACCCTGGCTTTTGTAGGGCCATTTGTACTCAGCATCCATTGGCCAGTCTCTATCCTGGCTCCCTGGGCTTTCTCCCAGTGTGTGCCTCTGTATCCGATTTCCCTCCTCTTATAAGAACACCAATCCTTGAACTAGGGCTCACTGTACTCTAGTCTGAACTCATCTTACTTGGTTACATCTTCGAAGACCCTATTCTAACTCAGGTCACATTCCCAGGCACTGGGACTAGGGTCTCAACATACCTGTAACATAGCAAATGCACCAAATTCATATGAATGTGAGCCCTCCCCGCTTTTCAACCACTCCTTTTTTTTTAACCAAAGATCAGCTATGTGTCTCCTCAAACTCTACCCAGGATAATAAGGGAAGGGCAAACAGCAGTAGGAGCTAGAAACCTCAATGCTAGCTACCTCCTTTATCTCATTCCTTATCTCAAACCTAAGGAACTCCCACAGCCATGAGGGACCTATTCAACCACAAAGAGGCAAGGTTTCTTTTCCGAGCTTTTAGCTGAAAACCATGTGAGCTACAACCTACCCACTGTTGTGCATGCCAAAGTGTGAGTGTGCACACATGCCCTAGGGTGCCACATATTTGAAATGGTTCTGGTGCTCCTTTATTTGTGCTGCTTGCTCCTTCTGCAGAAGCTTGGCCTTCTAGAACACTGAGAATTCTGAACAACACATCATTTTTTCTTACTCAGCAACACACATTGGTAGCTAAAAGGTGAACGGAGTGCTAAAAGTAATATATAATTTTAACAAATGGCAGAGGAGTGATAGAGCAATCATGTTTTATGAAGGAAAGATTAATTACAGTGGGAACAAACATAGCATGTACCCAGATTTAAGCTTTCATAACAACAGATGTCACTAACACCTCTGGGTGTTTATTCAGTATTTGTGCCCCTTGCTCTTAATTGTAGCTTGAAATAATGACAGTTGGGGAAACTTAGGTTGGTACTAAACTCATCCCAAAGCTTGATTTACAGCTGGTCACCTCCCACTTGGCAACAGCTTGAAATGGCTACAGCAGTAAGAAGTCTGGAAGATTTTGCCCTTGAGGTTAAGGTATTAAACAAAATGAAAACTAATCTCACTTCAGTGAAGTGTGGTACTTAAAAGTTGAATGTTTGAGTGACAGTCTTATAAAATGTCTCCCTTTAAAAATGATTTTATTAGAGTAATTAAACGTGTAGAAAATGATGTCATCTTTCTGCTGCTGTACAAGGCTCTATTCTAATCTCCCTTGCTCTCTGGAACTAAATAAATCTATACATAGCCTTCCTTGGTATATATTTCACTCATTATCTCTATATATAGATCTGTAGACAGGATATTTCCTGTGAACACAGGTCACGCTCTATTCACAGGGGATTACTACTTAAAACCTGAAACTGTAAATTCTTTTAATAGTTCACAGAGCCAGTCATGGAAGGGAAAAGTCAGAAATAGTCTTTAGGGACCATGGCTGTACATCTATTTCCTTAACTACTCAGCAAATTGTTACCAAATATTCATCAAACACACACACACACACACACACACACACACACACACACACACA